TTTATGGGAAGTATTTTTTTTTAAATGAAACTTAATGATTCTGTATTGTATTAATTTAATTGTCATTATGAGTTTATTTTGTCTTGAGTATTTTTATAGTCTTTTTTCAAATAGGACAGGATGCAACAGTTTACATTATTAAAAGATTGGCGATACATTATCACCTGTAAAAAATGCTGTTAAAATTGGTTGTATTTTCAGTATGTATATTTAAATATCATCCATGACCCTTGGCTTAATCGGTTGTTTCATTTAGGGCATCTGTTGCCTCAGATTAAAAAGAAAACCCGGCAACAGTCTGCAAAATGAGACCAACCCTGTAAATGTTTCTTCTAATGAAGTGACATCGTCAGCCTAGATCGGCTAGATGCCACAAATATACTGTGCCGCTCTCAAGTAATTTAATATTGTAAATGTTTACTATAACTAACACTTGTGTAGAAAACAGATTAAATTTAAGTTCTGGTTTTGTTCTGAATGTTAAATTTCTTAAAGTAAATGTAAACAATGAAAAAATTCATAATGATAATTCAGGATGGTCAAAATCGAATTTTGACTTACTTGACTATATTAACCTGAAGCATTTCATTACTTGTAATTTTAATTAAACATTTTATTTATTGGGACATTTTGATAAAAGTAAGTAATAATTTGGTTAAAGACCATCAATGTCCCAAATTGAATTAAGACCAATTTCTATAAGACCTATTGAAATAAGACCAGTCATATGGAAATTAAGACCACTTTTATCTCCTTTTGATGAAAAGAACATAAATAAAAACCTGTAATTCATGTCCTACAACATGTAGTTAATTACGGTAAAAGGTGTCCTGTGTCCCAAAATAGGACAAATGTCTTTTTTAATTGTGAACTTTTTTTCATATTAGTGTACAAACACAACTGTTTAAAGAATCTTTGCACAGACTTATAAAGACCTTTCCAGGGTTGTTTTTACATGTATTATTCCAAATCAAACACTTTACTGTGTACTGTGTATTACAATTAATTCAGAAATTATAATATATAAATAGAAATTGTATTTGTGTGAATAAGTGGGCTGCTTGATAAGAAAGGAATTATTCAAATACAAAATAATTAATAATGCTTTTTTAATGCAGTACTTTTGAAAGTAATTCAACCTTATATTTTTATGATCTGCAAAATGTTACAAGTCATAATAGTTACCCATATGGGTTTGGTCATGCTTAGATGTCTTGAGTCTAAAATATAGATGTCGGGAACTCCGCAAATGTGGAATTTTTTTTGCTACGGTATTTCTATGGTGCAAACAAACTTTTACTGTTAAAGCTTCACGGTGCACTACTCGTCAACATGTTGCACTTATTTATGGAGTTGTACATGTAAATGTAAAAGTTTGTTTGTAAACCCAGATTAGCTTGGAAAAACCAAAATAAACTTTTTTGACAAGTAAATCTTTTGTGAAGTCAACTATGGTCTACCCATTTTAAAGTAATGATAAGATTTATGTAGCATGGTTGTGATGTTCTAAAAAAAGAGATACTTAAGACCCGTGCTTGGGCCATCATTGTTCTTTTAAATTAGCGTATTAGAAGGTACCGTAGTTAAAAGTTTGCACAAATAAATCTGATTAACATATTTAAACGGACACAATACAATTGAAAATGCATTTGACCTTTAAATGACTCACTCTTTTTCACGAATAAAGATCTGATAACCCTATGTTTTACCGCAACACTTGGAATTTATAGACTCTTTAAAACGGATCATAGATGTACTTACATTTATTCAAATTGCATTAGCCCCAATTAAGGACCATCAGAACATTAAAAATAAACAAACAGAAACACAAACAGCCCTTAACTTACTTCAGTTTACTAGAATTGTGATTTTTCCAATTTAATTGTCTTCTATAATCCTATCGATAATAAGCAAGGATGATACAGGTGCTTGGTGATAACTTAGCAAAACCATTATGGCCAATATGACCCTTTCTTGGAGAGTGGGGGCAAACATGTAGTGCCCACAGTTAGTAGTGATCGAGGCCTGGAACCTGTATGGCAGTTTGCCAGTTTGTTAGAAAAAAAATGTAGAATAAGTATGTAATGAATAATTCCAGTTTTGAATTTGGAACAGTCCATTCAAATGGTTTCAAAATAAATAACTAAAGTAGAAATATTATAGAGTTTAGTTCCACTGCATATTTTAGGATAGGCTGGCCTTGGCATTTCTGGTCTCAGCAGTTTAAGGGTTAGGGTTAATACATGTAGTATTTTACCTCAAGAAATCTATTAAAGTAAAGGGGACATTTGAAATCTAAAGGAGGACAAAGGTGTTACACAAAGGTTTAAAGGTCAAATTAAATTTAATGTAATGCATAATATCATCGACTTTAAGTGATATAGTAAACTTCCATTCAGTATTCTTTCTGATGATCGAGTTTCAATATTGTCATCCTAAGTTAAGGTTTACCCTATATTTGTTAACATTTACTGCTGACAATACTGTTTTATGTATGTTAGTCTGATATATTCATTTTATACATGTAACATGATCCTGTGAAACTAGATAGATGTTAAGAAGTTATAGTTCAACAAAAAATATAGCCTATATTGTAGTAAATAGTGGCAGAAGTCATTCACCTCTTGTCATAAATATTGCTTAACACCTACCCTGCTGGAACCAAGTGACACCAGCCTTTGCCACCAGTATAGAGCCATACCAGTCTGCATTACATGCAGTAAGACCCAAGGATCAGGTTCTATTCTGTTTGTAAGTTTAATTTCAGACTGTATGTGCAGATTACCTCGGGTATCACTGACCTGTACCACATTTTGTCACCTTTGTGCAGTAACGGGCTAACTTTTATTAAGTTATAAAAGGAGTTTAACCTGTTATTGCACTAAGGTGATGATTTGTTAGCATATAATATTACATAGAGGGCATATATTACATAGAGGGCATTGCCCTGTATTTGTACTTAAGTAATATCGGGTACAAGGGTATATCTGTATTTGGCAATGACAATGCTATTGCCATATATTTGATCAGAGATATTATAGTGTTTTTGTTTTTTTTTTGTTTTTTTTTGGGGGGGGGGGGGTAAACAAATTACAGAGATTGATTACAATGTATACTTTATTATTGATCTTGACAGTGACAGCATGTTTTAAAACGTAATTCAACATAAAAAAACAAAAAAAAAAACAACAACAAAAACCCAATAAAATCCACACAAGCTTATAAATGTGAAATGGGAATTGCATTATAAATGAATACCAGGTATGAATCTTCAAATATTTTTGCTAACATGCACAAATAAATACATTAGGTTCCTGCTTTGGTATGTCTGATTTCTTATTTGATTTATTAATTATTGGAAGTTTTATCAGCAATACACATTAATTAATAATATTAAAATGAGTAGATGCATTGTTCTTAAATTTTTCTTAACTTGCTGTAAATTGAAATGATTTTCCATTGCCGACAATATTTGCCATTAATTTTGTGCAATCTGACCTGGCTCTATATATTGTTGGCATTTTCATCCTGATATCCCCTTAATTGACAATGGACAGTTCCATCAATGAAAGCTGGACAAGTCCATTACAGAGATTCAGCAGGTGAAAGGGACATGATGGGACTGAAAATATTTTTTTGAGAATTTTAAGACCATTTGATTAAGGTCTTGACTAATAATGTATTGTCAAAATTTCAGCTCATATGCTCTCCAGAATATTTTCGCAGAATAATCATTTTTAGCTCGACTATACAAAGTATTATAATGGCGTCCGCGTCCAGATTTTAGATTAAAGTTTTGGTGCAGTAAAATATTTTTCACTCCAACTTTGTCATTTCTTAAGGTATCAACTTCAAACTTCAAATATATGTTCCTTATCATCAACCACATCTTATGTGACAAGGTTCATAACTCTAGCACCAATATTTTCAGATTTATCTCCCCTTGAACTTAGACTTTTCCATAAAAAATATTATTTTTTACTGTCACTTATTTATTTCTAAAGGGATCAACTTCATACTTCAAATATGTGTACCTTATCATCATCCACATCTTATGTGACAAGGTTCATAACTCTAGCACCAATATTGCAAGAATTATCTCCCCATAAACTAAGATTTTTTTTTACTAGAAAAATGTTATTTTTCACTTTAACTTTTTTATTTTTAAAGGTATCTACCTCAAACTTTAAATACTTATTCCTTATCATCAATTACATTTTATGTGACAATGTTCATAACTCTTGAAGCAATATTTACAGTTTTATCTCTCTTTGAACTTAGGATTTTCTTTAGGAAATATAATAACTTCTTTACTTTTTAAGGTATCTTCTTCAAACTTAAAATATATATTTCTTATCATTACACAAATGTTGTGTGACAAGGTCCATAACTCTAGCATGACTATTTCTAGAATTATTCCCCTTGATCTTGGAATTTATGTTAACAAATGTTATTTTTTTACTAAAACTTAATACATAATTATACATAATTGATTTTTCTTTCATAGTTTTGTCCTCCTTACTGCATCCAGTATTTTATTAGTCAAACTTCGCTGTCTCCTGTGACAGCTCTTGTTATTTTATTTAACTCAAAAATAAAAAGCATTTAAATGCTTTTTAACTGAAATCGAAAATTAAGTGTATTCCTTTATAATCGATATTTTTCTGTTTTAGTCCTCATCTATATTTGATGTTTTTAGGCTTTTTTTTCTCTCAGTGGAACTCCTTTAATGGTTAATTATTAAAGCAGAGGTGGGTCATACTGTACACTCCTATGAAATCTTACAACTATAAAACAACACAAAATAATTTTGTTTTCTCATTTGTTTAGATTCATGCTATTGTTTCACTTGTATGTGTTTTTGTTTTTTGTTTATTGAGGTAAAATTCTAAATGCAGATTTCATGAATAAATTAGCATTTAGCTATGCACAGCTTGCATTGGTACTTTAATCAAAGTTAATATACTTTTGAAATGTAATAAACGTTTTTGCAAAAACTGATTTTTTATTTTATCAGGTGAACAGATGAACCACAGGTGAAATGATTATTTGAAGAACATCAAAAGTTTACTTGGATATTAGAAGTCGTATTCTGAACGCATTTCATTCAAGATGTGAACGATGATTAACAATGTCTTCACGTGACTCAGACACAAAAAATCTGCTTGAAAAAGCAGAACAGGAAGGAGATGTTGCCATGACAACAGAAAAGGTCAAGGTTGCTGCTCAAGATCAGTCAAGTGCAGGCCTTGACCCCTGTGATGTAGAATTAGAGAAATGTAAAGATGACGTAGAAATTGAAGACGCTAAACTAGCAATGACTGATGATGTAGATGTAACCATGGAAACTGAAGAAGAATCAACCAATGAGAAGACAGGATTAATAAGCAGTGATAGTAGTAGTAGTGATTCGGAGGATGAGGGCAAAGGTCAAGGTCCAGTACAAACTGAAAGTGATATAGATTTCAGAATAGACAATTTAACAAAAAGGTAAGGATAATATTTTGTGTAATTTATAGAAAAAAAATGATATGATAGTCTTGAAAAAAAATTGAATGATAATTATAATTATGTTGATTGATAATTTTTTAAAAATAACAGTAAGTTTTTAAACAATGAATAACACGCTTTGTTTCATATCATTTTTTAAGGCCGTCATTTTGCCTTCAGTATGAATTAAGTTGTAAATTAATAATAATGTTACTTTACCTTTAGAAAATATTGCTGAAATAGAAATATTTAAGCTTTCCTATTTTCATTTTTGAAACAAAATTTATGAGGTATATGCAATAACATGAATTTAAAGCCTGAATTAACACAGGCAGAAATATCAAGTGCATGGGGTAACTATTAAAGTATTAATGGAACACAGCCTCATTATCACAAACAGTTATAATGTGCTGGGTTATTCCGGTCTGTATCCCGACAGTTGGTGCAAAATTCCGATTATTTTTAGTTGACAAATGCCGAGTCTGTACTTCTGTTGTAGAACAGAGATGAGAATAACCATATTTGAAACAAATATAGATTAAAAGAATGATAAAAAAGTTATGTTGAATAGCCCGCAGCTGTTGCATAGATCTGCTATAATTGTTTTGAGTAAGTCATGCAAGTACCTGCCTTTGTATAAACAATAACAAAAATTGATCATTTGTAAGTTTCTATGAAGTTTAAGAACACAATGAATCTGCTTTTTCTACTTGTAAAATACAAACCATATTCTTGTGATCATTATTTAGCTTTAAGTATTGTTCCAAAATTATACTGTATTATACACTATTATTTTATATTTTCAGTTTGCAACAATTGGATGTCGGCGGTTCTCTGTCTCCGGGCTACCCTGTACACCGGAAAAAATTCAAACGTTATAAAAACTCATTGAAAGGTGCCATACCAATCCGGTTTGAGAAAAGGTAAGATTAGATATGTAAAAAGAAAGTACATGTTTTCTATTGAAAGTTTGGTTTATGCGATTTATTTTGATATGTTATGTGCAGGGCTCTTGTTATTGCAAATTTGGGCCAGAATATTAAAGGCCCAATGTCTCCATTAAAACAGTTACTTTGCTTCCTTCTACCCCCTGAAAATTCACATTTAGGAAAAGTGGATCACATGAGCATGTTCTGTATAATGCAAATGGCTGCTGAACAAATACGACATTTTAAAATCAAAATTGATCGCCTAGACTGCAGATTTTTCATTAGATAAGCAGCAAATTAGATATTTATACTTTTAAGTACTTGTTAACTTGACTGTTCTGAAGAAAAAGTCAAGCTATTATGATCGCTGCGGCATCATTGTCGTCATGCAATAACTAATGTAACCCATAACTCAAATAGTTTGAAGGTATCTTTATAAAACTTGGAGTACTTGCTTCTCATGACCAAAGGCAGTTGTAAGCCTGAGTCTCAAAATGCTAATGAGAGCCTATATACAGTATGTGATTACGGTATTATTGAAATGAGAAGTTTTAATGATATGGTAGAAAACAACTTTGTTTCTCTTTCTTTTATATGTTTAAGTACAAAGGAAATAAGGCATCTACCATCAAGGACAGAGTCTAATTTTTTAGGCAGAACGATAAGTATACCTCTAAAATCAAATCTTTATGGTCATAGATAAACTTGCTTAAGATAAAAAAGGTTAGTTTTTCAAAAAAATCAATTTTTAATTTTAGGGCAAAAGATGAGTTTCCTATGGAAAAGGCGGGATGTTTGTCCTTGATGACCTTCAGTTGGCAGACGTCAATGATGTGGAACATATATCGGAAAGGAATTGACACCATTAAAGATATGAGTATAGGAGACAGTGATAAAACCAAACCTAATGCTGACAGGTAATTTCTTGTATATCGGACCGACGTTTTGTTAGTTTTACCCATGCCGGTTTTACATGTGTGATGAAGGGTGCCAGATGAGTCTCATGCCATACGTATTTTATCAATGAACCGTGTTCAAATGATCTCATTTTTGGGGTATTTAAGAATGAAACTGCATGCTTTAAGGATGACGCTTTTTTCCTGTTATAAATGAAGTGTTAATTTGTTACGCCTTTGTACGAAAATAGCTACGAGTGACATGCCATAAAATTTTATTGAAAATTGTTTGATTGAGATAAAGCATTTAAAATATGACGGAATATGGTAGAATATGCAAGATATAAATATTTGACATGTTTGCGGTCCAAATTAGAATCTCCGTCCCTCGGGGACCTACTCATACTTCCCTTGGGACGGACATTCTGATCCAAATAGCAACATATGACGGATATTATTAGCATCATGAATTTTTAAGTATACAAAATTTTATTTAATTTTACCCATGAAATATGGTGCTATATCAATCAAATATATTTCATATTTTTTAAAAAACAAATATGAAATATAAATATGAAAGTGGGCAGAGTCAAAACTCATATTTATTTTAAGGGACTTCTTTCGCCATTTTGTCGGAAAGATCTGATAAATACAAAACAACTTTTTGTTTAATTTGTTTTGAAAACTATCTCGAAAGATAGAAAATGGTCTAACTAAGAAAATAAATCTGAACACCAATATCTTTAATTCAGTCATTAACGCTGTACAGACGCTTAAAGATCGTTAACGTGAAGTCACAATGTAGCGCTAAATATCGCGTGCAAAACAAGACAATAATTATATTACTGTGCGCTGTATAATTGCAAATGCGTAGCAAGCAAGGGGGTTCTTAACCATTTTCCTTTGATGTTGAAATTAGATAAAAAGGTTATTTTCGTTTTTCGTGAAATTGAATAATTTTTTTTACTCAAAAAGGTAAAAAGCGCATATTTTTTATCACTGTCCCGGGTCTTTTGAAAAAATTTGTGGGGCCCCTTTTTTTAGTTTCATGAAAATATTTATTTTCACGAAAAAAAAGAAAAAAAATTCCCCTTTTCATTAGATTATTTTTCCCCAAAAATTTTTTTCCCCCGAAATGAATTTTAAAGTTCATTTATTTTAAAACGAAATCAAAAAGTACTACAAAAATTAGAGTCTGGTCGATGGAAAAATGCAGGGCCCCCTGGGTATGTTTGGGAATGACTAAACTTTTTGGTTTTATATTTTTTTATTTCCTGGTATTAAAAAATCATTGCTGGCTAAAATGCAAAAATGAGACATTTAATACAGATTGGCTTAAATGCATTGTAGCATACAATGTATTAAATACCCTTTTGACTTTTATTTACATGTATGTGCACATTTCGACCCTTCAATGCAAGCAGCAATGATTGATTGTGTATGTTATACAACTGTTGTTTGTTTCTCAGAGTCTGAACTTACATCTTGAACTGACTGAAGTAAACAGTGGTCATTTCCTCATGGTTTGAAATGAATAACTGTTTCACCAGGTCACCTTGTATCATCTATTTTATCTGATATTATTTCAGATTGGAGAGGCTATGGAAGGAGGAGGTTGCCAAGAAAGGTACAGAGAAAGCGTCTTTCTTCATGACCGTACTCCGATTTGCAAGGACACGAGAAATATTAACGTTCATAGCTTTAGTCATTTCCTGTGCACTGTCATTCTCTACACCTGTAAGTGTTTATTATGATGTCATAAATTTGTGATGTAATGAATTTGTGATGTCATTTGTGATTTTATGAATTTGTGATGTTATTATCAGTTGTAAAGATTTTAATTCATTATCAGAATAGATATTGAAATTATATTTGAAAAAGTATTTTTCTGCATCAAGTAAAGATATGATCTCTTTGTTTAAACATAATATGTCTGTAAGCTCAATTGTGTATAAAATATGCATTTTATATTGTCCAATTTTGAATGAGTTTTCTGGAAGGTGATAAGTTGAGGTGGACCTGTGGAGGGTTAAGACCTATGATACTGAGGTTAGAAAAAAAAAGACGCCATTTACCAGTTGGTCATCTCTTCAAACTCTAAATATTGTATAGTTTTAAGAATGTTTATACAAACATCTATTGTTTCTATATTATGTATTATCTACAATATTGTAAGTTATAGTCCACATATTTAAGAATTAAGAATACTTTGGGTTTTCCCAGCTAATCTTGTGGTACAAACAAATTATCACAGTTAAAGTTTCGAAAAATAAGGGCAACAGGTTGACTTATCTATTGTGAATGGTAGTGCATCCTGAAGCTATATGGATCAATGTTTGTTTGTACAGGGTGATTAGCTAGGAAAAACCCACATTTGCAGAATTCTGAATTAAATCTTTTGTAAATTATCATAAATATGTTCTGTCTGTTACATTTCAGGCTTTTGTTCTACACAGATTATTACTCTACCTAAACTCCGGTGATATTAACCTCGGTTTTGGCCTAGGACTGGTGGCCGCAATTAGTGTGACAGAGTTAGGCAGATCTCTATTTTTTGGCCTAACTTGGCAAATTAACTATAGAGCAGGTAAATAATACTATTTTCCTATTTGTTGTGCAGATTTCTTAGCTCACCTATCAACATTGTTGACCTTTCATCATACAATGGCAAGTTATTGTCTTGTATTTATCTGTCCACATTTTCCTAACAACATCTTACTATAATACCCTTACGTCAATTTTGAAGAAACTCCATAGAGGTTTCATGCATGAATCTAAATCATTTCTGTTTAACATGCAAATTTTAGTTGCCATGGGAACACAAAAAAGTCATCTTCAAAAGAACTGAAAGGGCATAGATATTTTACATGTTCATGTAGTATAAATATTTGGATTTTTACCAAGGTAATAGAAATTTTGATCCTGACCTCAAAACTCTGACCTGTGGTTCAGTTGATCCTGTTCCAAATGGTATTTCATAAAATTTATCCAAAATATATGGCTCACCTAAATATAAATCACTATATGAATAAATGAATAATTAATTCAATATTAATATATGATCTTTTTCTGTTAAGGTGTAAGAGTAAAAGCTGGTGCACAAGGTCTGCTATTTAGGAAGATTTTAAGGCTGAGAAATCTAGGAGACAAGACTGTAGGAGAGGTAAATATAACAGTACAACCTCTGTATAGCAACCACCTTTATAAAACAAAGATTTTGGTTGCTTTTGAGAGGTGTTTGCTGAACAGAGATTTAAATTATTGACTATTGTCCTATTTACTCATGGTAAAAATGATACTCATGGTTGTTGTAAAGAGGTGATATTGTTGTACAGCTGGCTGCTGTACAGAGGTAATACTATACCTGTGTACTGAAAATTCTGTCTCTAAACAAACTTTACACAATTAACTTCTCGATAAAGCTTTATATTAAACAATTTTTAATGTCAGATGTTTTCATATGTCAACATTTCTTTGTGATAGATTGTTCTTATATAAAACATATGATTTGCTCAATTAACTACACTTGATATTCACCACTGTATTTTAGCAGTCTGAAAAATGATAGGGCCTGCACAGCAGGTTTTTTTAACTGTTTTGTCAGACCTTTGGTGTACAGTTTGCTGACATCATCCTGAAATCATATTAATTAAACCTTAAAGGCATATTATGCCTTGGAAATCCATATAATTTTATATTAAATTCTTAAGGAATGTCAAATATGTGTTAATTTATGTTAAAATAAAGTTAAAAGAGCATGTAATATGATAAACAACTGAAGAATATAACACGTAACTTGCAGTTATGTGTTGTAAAGTTACAAATGTAGCTGAATGTAAACCAAGCAGTATTTTGACTTCTGTTTCTGTTTTGATACTGGAATCCCTGTGACTTTGATGAACTGCTCAAGGTTTAAAGCAGGGCAAATCTGTAACAAACATTAAGCAGGGCAAATCTAATACAAAAATTAATCGGGGCAGATCTATTATTAAAATTAAGCAGGGCAAATCCATTATGAAAATTAAGCAGGGCAGATCTATTACAGAAATTAAGCAGGGCAAATCTATAACAAAAATTAAGCAGGGTAAATCTATTACAAAAATTAAGCAGGGCAAATCTATTACAAAAATTAAGCAGGGCATATCTATAATGGAATTTAAGCAGGGCAAACCTTTTATGGAAATTAACCAGGGCAAACCTCGAAAATTTAGCATGGCATATCTATTAGAGAAATTAAGCAGGGCAAATCTGTAACAAAAATTAAGCAGGGTAAAGCTCGAAAATTTAGCAGGACATAACTGTTATGAAAATTAAGCAGGGCAAGGATTAAAGGCCCACTGACACATTAGTAGACAAAAAGTATATTTATGTATGGTTTAATAAACAGACTTAGCATGATATTGGTTGAAATACATATTTTTTTAATTGCAGATTGTGAATCTCGTAGCCAATGATAGTCAGCGTATATTTGATGCTGTAGTTATTGGCCTTCTTCTGTTGCCATGCCCGGTGATCTTGTTAATGGGCCTCGTTTACATGCTCGTTCTCATTGGTCCTTGGTCCCTGATTGCCATAGGGATATTTGGAATAATGTATCCAATCATGGTAAGTGTATTGAAGCATATTGTTTATTAACCCTTTCACTGCCATAGGGACGGCTTATGCCGTCCCTGTTATTTTCGGCGTATTTGCCATATGGACGGCTTTTGCCGTTTCTATAATAATCATAATAATAATAATAATAAATTAATAATGATAATAAAAATAATAAATATAAAGAAAATTATACCATCAACAATAATTATTATTATCTAAGTATATTTGGAAACATATATAATTATTATAATACTAATGACAAATAATGATAATAATTATATTAATTAATAATATAGTAATTTCTTAGAAAACTCTCTGGCGAATAGGTGATCAATAAAACAATAACTCTCTGGCAGCGAAAGGGTTAATGGATGGAACATTAATTCATAGACTTTGTTATTAGAATAGGAGCTGAATGATTAACCAGGTAGATAAAAGTGAAAGCATTTTCTTGTCTAGGCCTGTGTTTTCAGGGGAACAAATCTGTACATGTAGGATGGGGAATTTTCTCTTGCGGGGGAATTTCAGTCAATTTTTCCTGCACATACATGCAATATAACAATACTCATGTTGTTAACTAAAACATTAAGTAAGCTAGCTGGATAGCTTTCTCACATGAAAGAATCCAAAGTCCCTGTCGGGATTCGAACCCACAGCAGTGAGGGGCAAGTGGTTTGAAGTCAACGACCCTAACCACTCGGCCATGGATGCCCCAGTAAGCACAGTGTACATTACAGTACACTGCAATAAACAATAATTCAGTGCAATGCAGTACAATACATTAAACAACAGCACTGTACAAATATGCAGTACTATGCAATACAAAACAATAAACATTAGTACAGTACAATAAACAATGGTGCAGGACATTTGTACAGTACAGTAAAGTAAAGCACAACACAACACATTACAGCATTGTAATACAACTCAATACAGTGCGCTACAAGTTTATTTTAAGTAAACACATTACGCGCATTCAATCTCATTAACTTATAAAAGTCAGAAATGCAAAGAAAAAATTTCATTTTTTTTGGTGTTTGAAATGAAAGAATATGCAATATTAAGAAATTTTTTAGTTATCTTTGTATGAAGATTTAAGGTAACTCTGTATTCAGAGCACGACGCAAATTTTGCATTTTAATACTGAAAGTGAGATATACTTAATTGAAATAATTTCGTTTTTTTCTTTAATTAACTAAAGGCATACTTTTAAATATGCTAATTTTATATCATCATCAGAAAATGATTACGAGTAATCGAGGTGTTTACAAGAGTAGTAATTCGTTAATCTAAATTCAAAATCACGAAGGAGTTTAGAAGTTTATCTTTTACACTGCATCATGTCATTAAAATGTAATTTGACTGACGCTGTTTAATGAATATTGATTTTTCCTGCCTTGCCAGTAACCGGCTCAATTTCTGTAATGGATTCAATCCGATTTGAATTTGAAACAATGCAGTAATAGATGACAGTACTGAAATACAAAAAATTGAATTACTGATACTACAGAGACCTGTGAAACTACACAGATGTTCTAGTAATCCACAGTAATCAAAGACATTTTTCAAGTAATCCACAGTAATCAAAGACATTTTTCAAGTAATTGACAGTAATCAAAGACATTTTTCAAGTAATTGACAGTAATCAAAGACATTTTTCAAGTAATTGACAGTAATCAAAGACATTTTTCAAGTAATTGACAGTAATCAAAGACATTTTTCAAGTAATCCAAAGTAATCAAAGACATTTTTCAAGTAATTGACAGTAATCAAAGACATTTTTCAAGTAATCCACAGTAATCAAAAACATTTTTCAAGTAATCGACAGTAATCAAAGACATTTTGTTCAAGTAATCAACAGTTATCAGTAAAAAAGACATTCTTTCAAGTAATAGAAAGTAATCAGTTATCAATGACTTTTTTCAAGTAATCCACAGTAATCAAAGACATTTTTTACAAGTTGTGGACCGTAAACAGTTATCAAAGACCTTTTCTCACGTAATTGACAGTATTTTTCAAGTAATCGACAGTAATCAAAGACATTTTTTTTCAAGTAATCAACAGTTTTCAGTAATCAAGGACATTTTTCCAAGTACTTATCAAAAACTTTTTCTCAAGTTATCAACAGTTGTACAGACTGGCCTAGCTCTATACTGGTGGCAAAGACTTATCACTCTTGGTTAAAGATTAAGTTTGATAACTATATCATAATTATGTTTAATTTGTTATTTCTCTTTCTTTTCCAGTATTTTGTTTCTAAGCTGACCACATATTACAGAAGAAAGTGTATAGTTATAACAGATAAAAGGGTAAGACATTTAGATTTCTTGAAGATGTTGTGTTTTGTTTAGTTAATATTGTTTTACTGTAGTTGTGAACATATAAATGTTTGTTTTTTAGCTCACCTGAGCATGCTCAGGGTGAGCTTTTAGGATCGATGATTGTCCGTCGTCCGTCCGTTCACATTAAGTTGTTAACACCTTAGCGGTCGCATTTTTGCCTCAATCATCATCAAACTTGGTCAGGATGCTTATCTAGTTGATAGCTCGGATGAGTTCGAACATGGGTCATCTCGGATGAGAAACTAGGTCACAAGAGTTAAAAATAGAAAAACCTTGTTAACACTCTAGAGGTCACATTTTTGCATCAGTCATCATCAAACTTGGTCAAGATGCTTGTCTAGGTGAAAGCTCGCATGAGTTCGAACATGGGTCATCTCGGATGAAAAAGTAGGTCACCAGAGCTAAAAATAGAAAAACCTTGTTAACACTCTAGAGGTCACATTTTTGCATCAGTCATCATCAAACTAGGTCAAGATGCTTGTCTAGGTGAAAGCTCGGATGAGTTTGAACATGGGTCATCTTGGATGAAGAACTAGGTCACCGGAGCTAAAAATAGAAAAACCATGTTAACACTCTAAAGGTCACAATTTTGCCTCAATCATCATCAAACTTGGTCAGGATGTTGGTCTAGGTGATAGCTCGGATGAGTTTGAACATGGGTCATCTCGGATGAAAAAGTAGGTCACCGGAGCTAAAAATAGAAAAACCTTGTTAACACTCTAGCGGTCACATTTTTGCATCAATCATCATCAAACTTGATCAAGATGCTTGTCTAGGTGATAGCTCGGATGAGTTCGAACATGGGTCATCTCGGATGAAAAACTAGGTCACAGGAGCTAAAAATAGAAAAACCTTGTTAACACTCTAGTGGTCACAATTTTGACTCAATTGTCATCAAACTTGGTCAGGAAACTTGTCTATGTCATTGCTGGGAATAAATCGAACATGGGTCATCTCGGATGATAAACTAGGTCACAGGAGCTAAAAATAGAAAAATCATGTTAACACTCTACTGGCTACTGTTGTGATCCAAATATTCTGTTAATTGATCTGAAAGTTTGTTTTGATGATTTCTAAGTCAAGATCGAACATGGGTCATCTTGGATGAAAAACTAGGTCACACCGCCCAAATATGGAAAAACCTTGTTAACATTCTAGTGGTCACATTTTTGACTCAATTATCATCAAACTTGGTCAGGATGCTTGTCTAGGTAATTGCTTGGATGAGTTCGAAATCGCATGTGAAACTAGGTCACAGGAGCAAAAAATAGAAAAATCTTGTTAACACTCTAGTTGCTACTGTTTTGATCCAAGTATCCTGGAAATTGGTCTGAAAGTTTGTTTTGATGATTTCTAGGTCAAGTTTGAATATGTGTCACCTGGGTAAAAAACTAGGTCGCACTGCTCAAATATGGATAATCCTTGTTATCACTGTAGTGGTCACATTTTTGACTCACCTGTCATGAGACTTGGTCAGAATGCTTGTCTAGGTAATTGTTTGGATGAGTTTGATAAGGCAGGTGAGTGATCTAGGGCCATCATGGCCCTCTTGTTTAACTTATACAATCCACTTATTTAGCTGTGAACAAATTAATGTTATCAAATCTCAAATCCATTTACCTGTGTTGTGAACAAAAGAAATATTCACTTTATTAAATCTTTACTCCATTGTCTTTAGTCATGAACTTAGAAATGAATGCATGTTAACATATCTTATGTCCATTTACCTTAGTTTTGAATTAATAATGATCTTGAATTTATTAATCTGTAGTTCTGTTACTTTAGTTGTGAACTGTTCACAACTAAAGTAACAGAACAACAGAACAAAGAAATGAATTAACATTGATAAAACTTAATTTAATTGATTTGATTTTTAATTTAATTTGGATGTATTTTTTGGGGGTACTTACATCATGTATCAGGAATTCTAGCGCCTCTATAAATTCACTGAGGCCCTACTGGTGGGGTTCAAACCCACTGTTAATTGAGGGAAATTTAAGGCAAAGTGAGCGGCACAAAACAACTCTGGCAATGAGGCCTTACTGGTGGGATTAAAACACATAAGACCTAAAACATTAAGAGGCAAGACATTTGAAATTAGGGGTTGCAAAGAGCTCTTTCAGGGAGGTCCCCATATTTTATTTAAGAAAAAAAAGCAATCTGTTTATAGAATCTGTGTTTATAGGTACGGATGATGAACGAGCTGTTAACATGTATAAAGTTGATCAAAATGTATGCCTGGGAACAATCATTTGCAAAAACTATTTCAGGTAAGAAAATAACTGTTTAAATAAATAATAGCCTGTATATTAGGCCAGCATTAGTAATATGTATTTTTCCCCCTCCTCTGACCCATGCCAGTTTGAGTAGGGTAGGTATGATGGTAAAAAATTAAATGAATTTAAAGGAAAGAAATAGTGAATGCTTAAGAATCTGTTCAAAGTTTTTATAGAACTAAAGTTACAAAGTTTTATTCAATATACATCCCAGTTTATTCATTTACATCATTCCTCCTGCTTCTGCTACTTTCTTTAGATGAAATGCATGTAACATGCTTTGAAATGATTATTTAAATTTTTTAAATTTCATATTTTTCTCTTCTGAAAAATGAACTATTTTTACGTTTCTAAGACATAATGTGCCTTTTATTGAATGAATTAAATTGAGCTGTGGCATGACAAAACCAATATAATGAGTTTGCGACCAGCATGGATTAAGACCAGCCTGCGCATCCGCGCAGTCTGATCAGGATCCATGCTGTTCGCTATCAGTTTTTCTACTTATTATAGGGTTTGTAAGCGAACAGCATGGATCCTGATCAGACTGTGCGGATGCGCAGGCTGGTCTGGATCCATGCTGGTCGCAAACCCATTATCATTATGTTGGTTTTGTCGTGACGCGGCTCAATTTATTATTTTACAGTGATACGAGCAGAGGAAAGGGCAATTCTAGAAAAGGGGGCATATGTACAAAGTATCAGTACTGCAGCGGCTCCCCTGGTGCCAGTTATGGCTGCAGTGTTCACTTTCCTTCCATATGTTCTGACAGGAAATGAACTTACTTCAGTGAAGGTAAGATTCTGCTAGTTTTACATTGGGAAATGAACTTAATATAATTAAGGTAAATTTCTGGTAATCTTAATGTGAATAAACTGGAAATGATATCAGTATAAGTTCTGCTACAGTTTTGTTTTTTTACACAATTATGGGAAATGAACTTAAATCAGTTAGATTAAATTCCTGCTATACCCTTTAAACCACTGGAAATAAATTTCTGGTAAAGTTTTTATTCAATGGGAAATGAACTTACAGCATTTGAGTTAAATTGCTGTTATATATACAAAAGGGAAATGAACTGCAGTCAGTGAATGTAAATTTCTGTCATACCATCTATTCCAGTGAAAATGAACTTACGTCATTAAAAGCAAAATTTTTTCTACAGTTTCTATACAATTTGAAATTAACTTCCTTCAGTTTAGTTTATGCTTTAGTTCCTACACAGCCTGAAATGACCTTCATAAGGATAAATTTCTTCTCTAACTTTCATGCAACTGGTAATGAACTTAACAGCAGTGAAAGCAAGTTCTTTAATAATTTCCTATTCAGCAGGAAATGAACTGAGTACTTCATTGAAGGTAAATTTCTGCATTACTTTCTATATCACAGAAAACTAACTAACATCAATTTATGTATACTTCTGGTGTGCCTTCTACCCCTCTGAATGTTACTTTGCTCATGGTTAAGATGAATATATTCATACGCACAATAAGTGTGTAAACTGTCCATAAAATAGTTCGTTTAACTACGATTTATAATAAACTTCTGACATTCTTCACTGGAAATTAACTATGGTGTACTTCTGGTATACTCTTTATATCACTGGAAATGGTATATTTCTGGTGTATTTTGTATATTAGTGGAAATGGTAAACTGTCGACACCACTTGTAAGGAACTTGCATTAGTTAAAGTTTACTTACACCATAGAAAATAAAGTTATATTTGTGGTGTACTTTTTATATCACTGGAAATTAAGTAAAGTATTCTTCTGGTTTACTTTCCTTACAACTGGAAATGAACCTTTAACAGTTAAGATAAACTTTTTGGTATATAAAAATTGCTAACTTCAAATTGCTTACACATAAACATAGCTGGTTTGTTTCCATAAAATGATAAAAATCTCTCTTGTGGTAGAGCTGCCAAATTTGCTTTGCAGTGGCTCAGCTGCTTTTTTAATATATGTGCGTACAATAACATAAAAGATTCCTCTAATGTTTCTAACTGATACAAAAAAGTATGTTTGTTGTTCTACAGTTTAATGATAGCTTTAGCCAATTATTTTAATGATATCTTTAGCCAATTATTTTAATAATATCTTTAGCCAATTATTTTAATGATATCTTTAGCCAATTATTTTAATGATATCTTTAGCCAATTATTTTAATAATATCTTTAGCCAATTATTTTAATGATATCTGGCCAATTATATTAATGATATTTTTAGCCAATTATTTTAATTGGTTTTAAACAAATTTCCGTGAAGTAAATCAACAGTCCAGCAACTTTTATCATGAGACAATATTTAAGCAATAATAATGTAAATTTTCAGTTAAGAAGGCTTGCTTTTATGGTCACTAAACTGTGTCTTGTGGCATTGTGAAACCATTGAAACATTTTATCTATTAGTTTAGGTCAAATGTAAGTTATGTAGGGTTTGATGGGTCTACAATGCTCAAAAGGGCTGCTTCTAAAGCGACCCTGGCCTTTGTTGGTTTGACTTAAAATCCAACAAACAAACAATGAACTTTTAAAATATGTTACACAACTTGGCATAATCTTTTACCTAAGATATTGTTACTAGCACTGACTGCATACTATTTACCTGAGAGGCTTTAGAATCCATGCCACATCCATGCCACCCATGCCATCTGCTCATGATCTGCACTAAACAATTTTCTAAAAATTGACAAATCTGTTTAAATATTTAGCATGTAAAGGGTTGAAAGAAAAAGTTGCAGCTCGACTGAAAACACCATTGAGAAAATCTGATAAAAAACCAAAAAAAAACAAAAAACATATATTTTGTGTATTATATTTTCAGGCATTTACTATTATAGCAGTGCTGAATTCTATGAGATTTACTGTAGGGGTCGTACCCTTTGCAGTCAAAGCACTGGCGGATGCTGCTGTGTCCTTTAAAAGATACAAGGTATATAATTATCTTAATAAAGTATGTTTATATTGTATATTCATTAATAATGACCACTTCAGAGCGCACTTTGTACACACTGTGTTATGGCTTTATATTTATGCACTTAATGCATGTTTAAAATTATAGTGTGATTTTTAAGTGAAGGAGCATAATGCAGGCAAATTGGACTTCATTTTTCAGTTAAATAAGGGTAAAGTAATGTTACATAAGGGGAAGTCTACTTTGAAAGACTTTCATAGACTTTAGCTTCTTTTTTTATTCACTCGATTAAATATGCGAGTGGCTTTTATTGGCACACTCTGTTCAGAAATTCTACAAGCTATTAGCAAGGATACGTACCTAAATTCCAACCCTGTGTAACAGTATAAACTGTTCAGAACAACACCTTTTGGGAGAGAAATATTTTGGTTGTTGATTAGAGGTGTTGCTCTACAGATGTGTAATATAGTGGAGATTTTTACTTTTGGAGGAAATAATGTTGTTATAAAGAGGTAGTTGCTGTACAGAGTGACATACTGAGGAGGCTATACTGTAATAACTGCACAAATTTATACTATATTTACTCTCTGATAAGCCATGTTTTAGCTTATTTTTTACATCAAAATGCCATCTAATCACAGAAATGTTAAAAGAAAGCATGAAAAAGTGTGTAAAATTGAACCCCCGACTTATAAGTGGATCATTTCATAAATGAATATATATGAAAAAGGTAGAGAAAATTGACAGTTTAGTACTCAGGTAATGATTCCAGAGTTGCTGTTTAGTTTATTATTTGGCAGGATACATCTGTAATACTATAACCAACAGGCATCAATCCTTATCAATTGTACTAGCTGTTAAAATTTGAAGAAGGTAACCATTTAACATAAATGTTTTTTATGTGTGTCTTTTAATGCCAGTTATAACATAGAAATTTTGTTGTTTCAGAACATTATGTTAATGGATGAGATCAAACCCCACCCATGGCAAGTGTTTAATGATAAATATGCCCTTGTGTTTAACCATACAACATTTAGATGGGAAAAGGAATCCACAGGTGATAAAGGTGGACAGAAGAATGGCAAAAAGAAAGGTAATTTTACCCTTGACCTGCTATAATTGAAGGTGATTAGCATTTGCCACCAGTTTAGAGCCAGGCCATCTGTGCAATGGATTTGAAATCTGACAAGGCTCAAGGCTATGTTGGTAGTTCAATTTTTTGTATTTTGATATTGAGATGCTTTGATTTTCAAATGGACTGTTCAAAATTCAAAGCAGGGCAAATCCACAAATTGAGCATGTTAATTCTGACAGAGATTTTGAATAAATGCATTTCTTATTGCATGTAACAAAGCTTTCAAGTTAGCTTCTGAAAGGTTGATGGCTGTACATGGATGTGTCCTTGTGCCTGAAATAATGCATGATGAGTATCGGAAGTGATTTGTTTGTTTTGGTTTTTGCACCAATTTTAACACAATTGTGGTCATCTTGGTTGTTGAACAAGCCAACATGCTTTTCCTTGATAACTGACAAGTAATTGTTAAATTCTCTGCAAGTGACTGACTTCTTATCCCACATGATTTGTAAATCTGCATTGAGAGACAAACGACCATTAGTCTCAGTTTCCGAGATCAGTTGTCCCCAGAAAAATAGCCTTGACCGAGGATCAAACTAGGCTCTTCTGGAATATGATCTGCTTAATGACCTCCCGTAATGGGCAAACAGGCACCTTAGGTGACTTCCACCACCAGTTAAGCTGTAATTTGCCATATGACATTTTTTAGAATGGTTGCAATGACTTAGAATGTGCGTTATATTTTTGTAGAAAATGTTTCAAAGACAAAGGCAAGTAATGGTATGACAGTTCAAGAAGAACTACAGAAATTGAAGGAATCAGAGCATGTCAATGGTGATGTACCCTTTGTTGATACACCAACCCTACAGGACCTTACCTTTGTTGCTGAAAAGGTGAATGAATGGAACACGGTTTTCTAGTTTAGTTGATAAAGAATATATGCATGCTTGCATATATGGGCTTGGCACACCCTTGCCTTTTTACAAGTTTATTTGAAAACTACAAAATAAGCAAGTAACCTCTCAATGGAAATGCTTTTAAAGTTTTTTTCCATATATCAGTGCTTATCCCCTTTTGTGTAAAATGATATACACAGCAATGTTGCATGTTTAATAATGATAGGAAAGTGCTTTTTCAAAAGACTAAAAGACCCTAAACAAATACATTAAAGGATCTCCACTGAGGTTCAAAAACTAAAAAAATTAAAGTTTGAATTTCTAACATAGCTCAGCTGGTGCAATTAAAACAAATAAATATGCATAATATAATTAAGAAATATACTCAGAAATAAATTGAAAATTATATTTTTATGCAATTCTTAACCGGTTTGAGAGAAGAGTGTTGCAATTTTCAGTCATAGTCACAGTTAGAATAATTATTCTGGAAAAACGGAGTGAGAAAATGATCGGAATTTTTGCAAACATGTTACTGGACATCAAATGGAAATTAATAGAGAATAACTATTTCCAGTGGAGTCCCTTTTAGAATGAATTGAAAACCAATTAATAGATAACCATATTTTGTTATGTTCACTATTTCTATATGTATTACAGGGTAAACTTATAGGTATATGTGGTAGTGTGGGATGTGGAAAATCATCCTTGCTGTCTGCAGTGCTAGGAAGGGTAAGTTATTATAATACACCCAGTGAAACATTATATAATATCAATGCTATAGATGAATTTATTTAAGAAATATATAGTTTCTGGCTCATCAGGTGTTGATCAAATGCGTGTGCGCGTGCATATGTGCCTGTGTGTGCGTTGATGTGTCATACAGAAACACATAAGTGATATTGGAACATCACAGCTTTTATTGTTGAAGGAAGACCTAGGGTATAACTGCACAACTACAGGAAAGGATGGACACCTTTTAACCACCTGCCTTTCATAAGATAGCTGGATAGCTTCTTCACTTAAAAGAATATATAGATCCTGATTTTATACAAAGCCATAGTGATAAGGGACAAGTGTTTTTTCTGCTAGAATGTGAATTTTTTGTGGCCTGTCTTTTGGTCTAATTTCATTGCAGATTAGCTATTACAATATTTTAAAGGGTCTTGTTTATGCCTCTATAAGGTACTCACCTCTAGCTTTAGAAACTTTGCCGTCAGATGCCCGCATGGCATGAGCATAAGTCAATGTGATGATCCTTGATGACATATCATTCAATACAATATAATATTTCGTTTCATGAGAAATTCTGTAAAAATGTTTTATAGTATATATTGTATATGGAGGAGATATTTTATAAAGGTTTTGTTATACAGATGATTCATGTGTCAGGAAAGGTTGCTGTACAAGGTACACTTGCCTATGTCACCCAGCAGGCCTGGGTTATGAACACTACAGTTAGAGAGAATATCTTGTTTGGTGAACCATATGACCCGGATAGGTATGTCCTCTAGAAATAAAATTTACAGTGTGTAAAAATATATCTCTGCTGCAAGCAGTTTGAAAAAGTGTTGTTTATATTTTGAAAAAGAATAATTCCTGGTTTGCCAATAAAATAGGAAAAAATTGTATAACAAGATATAACATTTATTCTTTTATATTCTTGTGTTATCTTTATTTATCTTGATTAACGCCATGTATTATACATGTACAGGGAAGTACTGAAATTTTATAAGAGTAACATTAAATATTTCCTGACAAAATATAAGATATAGTTTCATATTACAGGTATCATGCAGTGGTAGAATCCTGTGCTTTACTACAAGATTTTTCTGATTTTGTTGACGGGGATCAAACAGAGGTAAGTTTACAAACAACTAAATTTAGATATGTATACAAGATGAAATGTTGTTCAAGAACCTATTCCAAAAGTAAAATATGTTTTCCTAGTCAAAGAAATGTTTTGCTTACAAAATATAAAGCAGTGGTTGATAGTTTAAGGTATGAGATTCTTAATATTAAAAAAAAAATAGCCAGCTAGCTTACTGAAGGTTGGTGGTTTTACTCAGGTGCCAGCTTGTGCCTGAAATACTGCGAATTCACTTATCTTCATGGGCATGAAATTTTGTGGTTTTATCAAAACGGGCATTTTCTTGGGTTTTTATATTCGTGGATTTTCAATTTCTTGTAAAAAAAATAAAAAAAATAACCAAAAGTAAAAGTAATCTTACACTTAATTGCAGCACATTTTACTTACCCCATGTACATATCTTTAGGTCCACACAGACTTGTCAATAATTTTAATTCTTGCCTCTGGGCAATCATTACACAACAATCAGCAGAACAACACCGATGCATGTGTGTAATATATAGAATAGAGACATGACAAGAAGTTTTTGTTGCAATAAAATTTGGTTGGATCATTAATTCGTGGATTGACCTACCCACGAAAATTCATGCCCCACGAATAATAATGATTTTACAGTAAGGCGAGAAGCGGTATATGATGGTCTTCATCCACCAGTAAAGCTGGAAAGTTGCCATTTGACCTTTACAGTGTAGATGTGACTTAAAATCCAACAAAAACAAACAAACAAAATAAATAAAAGGGCTTCTTAATATTACTCAAGAAACAATCAGAACTAGAAATTGTAAAACTTAGGTAAGTCGAAGGGACTTGTGTAAAATTTTTGACACATCAGGTCTTTGACTTGTGAATCTGTCTCAATTTAAAGGACAAAACTGTCTTTTTTTACAACTTAATTACAAAAGGCCTGATTAAAGGAAAGGGAAATAACTAGCTATAGCAGTGTTTAAAGCAGACCTAGTTCACCAGTATGAAGCAAGACTGACATTCCAAATGGCTGACAGTCTTATCCGACTGTATAATTTTGACTGACTTATTTATATATCAACCTAGACACATTGGAAAACATGCCACTGCCAATAAAGTTGGAATGTTGCCATATGTTCTGTAAAGTGATGGTACAATGTTAAACAAACTCAACACACACAAGAAGCGCCAGAAACAAACCAAAATCTGTGTGTCCCAAAGTGTGTTTCTCTGCATATGCTGTATATGTTTTTATAACAATTTTATTTTACTTAAAATTCAGATAGGAGAAAGAGGTATCAATCTCAGTGGAGGACAAAAACAAAGGATCAGTCTGGCACGAGCTGTCTACAGTAATAAAGATATTTACTTATTGGACGACCCTCTCTCAGCAGTTGATATACACATAGGAAGACATATATTCTCAGAATGTATCATGAAACAATTGAAAGGAAAAACAGTGCTCTTTGTAACTCATCAACTTCAGGTAGGGATTTATTCTTCTTTCTTTTCAGATGAATGTACACGAGTAATTCCAAGTTTGCCTATAAACAGTGCTTTTAAGACTCAAGATATTTTTTCTTAATCTTGTCTGAATATAGATAAAAGTATGCCATAACTTGTAGTTGTAATAAGAGCTGTGATTACAAAGAGAGTTAAACCTAGTATACTTTCATTGACGGTTCAATAACGCTTTGATAAAAGATTTTTGTTTCTCTACTTTAACGGCAAGCAGAAATTTAATTTAGATTTTAGAGACTACAGACTATCTATATTTCAGTATTTAAGTAACTGTGACCAGGTGATATTCATGAGAGACGGTGCGATTACAGACACGGGTACACACAGCGAGATGATGAAAGCCGACACAGAATACGCTAACCTAATAAAGATATTTTACACACAGGAAAAAGAAAAAGAAGCTAGCATAGACAGTTTAGGTTAGTTATTAATGTTTGTATTTTCTTTAATTATATATAAAAAGCATTTCAAAGATCACAAATATTTTTACATTTTGTATGGAGCCGACAAGGTAATTGTCACTTACCCCTCACAGTTGTGAGTTAGAGTCCCATAAGGGACTTTGGATTATTTGTATGAGGGGTCTATCAAGCTAGATTATGGAAGGTCTGTGGTGCTACTCCTGCCTGAAATAATCAGAAAAAGGGCACATGAGGTCTTCCTACATCAGAAAAGTCAGCATAATTATAATCTTCACAGAGTTGGTGTGCCATAAATTCCTACAAAACAAACATTCCTTTAACTCTTAATGTGTTTAATGCAAAATAAAAGTTAATACCTCTAATATTAAGCCTATGATTATATAATAACTCTTCGTACTTCCTACAGGTGGTTCAAAATCTTTGCACAGACAGTTCTCTGTAGATAAAGCAGTATATTCCAGACAGAGAACTATATCTGCATGTTCTCAGGATGGTAAACAGGATGTGAAGAAAGATTTGCTGAAACAGATGAGTGTAATGTCAAATAGGACAATGAGTGTTGATGATGAAGCCAAACCTGAGGGTTTGTAACATTCTAAGTCTGTATTGCATTGTTAAGTAGTTTTATTGGATTTTTGTCCTGCTAAGATAAGAATTTTATTGTATTTTCAAGCTGAGAAAAAATCATGGAGGATATATTAGCCACATAATAGTTCCATCAAACTTCATTACCAATACATAATCTATATTTGGTATATGGTGTAATTTGAATGGACTTATAATTCATTTCTGACTTAGGATAAATGTTTTTCTGCTATCCAACACATATTTTGTAAGCATTTAATGAGCTGTACCCCTGTGCTCATAGAGCCTATACTGGATGATTGATATTTATAGAAATATATTAACAAATTCTGTTGCGATATATCCTGTTACTGACATGTTTTCATGCTACAATAAAAGATTGTCACTCAGTTGACAATCAAACATAGCATTGTCCTGTTTTAGAATCTTTCTGTTCTTTGCTTCTGTGAAATTTCTTTTTAAGTGTCTTAGCTTTTAAGTCCTTATATAAGCTTTGTAGGGTGAAATATTTTATGAGTTATGGATTTTATGAATTTGACATATGAATCAGTTACAGACATACTCTCTGTCATTATAGGTGGGAAGTTAATAGTTGCGGAAGAGAAGAAAGAAGGAAAAGTTGGTTGGCCAGTGTATCAGGTGTATATCAAAGCTGCAGGAGGTTACATACTGTCTGTCCTCGTGTTGTTATGTTTTGTTCTAGCCATAGGCTCTCAGTCCTTCGCCGGCTGGTGGTTGTCATTTTGGTTACAACAAGAAAGTGGGGTAGGTAGCTGACCTTTTTGCTTCTGTGATGCTGAAAATAGGCACAAAAAAAATTGGGAAATGACATTTCTGATAAAATTTAAATGGTCTTATTCTACTACAGTAGAACTTCGATGTGTCAGACTTTGATTAGTTGATTTTCTCAATGTGTGTAAAAGTGTAAGTCCTATATACATGTATGAGTCGAATTTTTATGTGTCAAACTTTTGGATGTGTCAAAGTTTTTACATTGTCCAGAAAAAATAATTAAAGAATATTTTACCATAAGTCAAGGTTTATCGTTCAATTTGACAGATGATTTTGACACTTTTTCTAGTCGGATGCTGATGACTTACTAAAGTTCTACTGTATTTAGGAATTACATTTAGTATCCAAATTTCAATTTATCCATGGTAAGGGATGTCTGCTGCTGTTGGCTCATAGGGAAGACTGGGCTTGCCTAACTATGTTGCCTCTTTAATAAAAGTCTTTATTATTATTTAGCTAACTTCAAATCAACTCCCACCAGTAGTGTTTGAGAATTGCCATATGACATTATAGTTAAGGTGTGATGTTAAATCCAACCATAATATGGCTATGATGATTTAATCTAAAGAATGAGAACATTTTTTGTTTCAGAATCAAACTGTTACTGTGGAAAATGCAACATTTATCAGTGACAGTATCTCAGATCATCCTAACTTGAGCTTCTATACAACAGTTTATGGTACCAGTGTGGCAGTGATGATATTCTTAACTGTACTCAGAGCTTTTGTTTTTATGAAGGTATTTGTGGATTTTGAGTCATTTATTTTTTAGCTCGACTATTCGAAGACTATGAGAGCTATTGTAGTCGCCCCGGCGTCGGCGTCGGCGTCAGCGTCCGCGTCGGCGTCTGCGTTGGTTAAAGTTTTTTGTAAAGTCAAATATCTCAATTACTACTTGAGATATTCAATTGAAACTTACAATACTTATTTATAGTAACAAGGTACATCAGATTGACAAGTTGGATAACTCTGCCTACAATATTGACAGAATTATGCCCCTTTTTAACTTAGAAATTTTGGTTAAAGTTTTTTGTAAAGTCAAATATCTCAATTATTGCTTGAGATATTCAATTGAAACTTACCATACTTATTTATAGTAACAAGGTACATCAGATTGACAAGTTGGATAACTCTGCCTACAATATTGACAGAATTATGCCCCTTTTTAACTTAGAACTTTTGGTTAAAGTTTTTTGTAAAGTCAAATATCTCAATTATTGCTTGAGATATTCAATTGAAACTTACAATACTTATTTATAGTAACAAGGTACATCAGATTGACAAGTTGGATAACTATGCCTATATTATTGACAGAATTATGCCCATTTGGAACTTAGAAATTTTGGTTAAAGTTTTTTTGTAAAGTCAAATATCTCAATTATTGCTTGAGATATTCAATTGAAATTTAAAATGCTTTTTTATAGTAACAATGTACATCAGTTTGCAAAATTGCATAACTCTGCCTGCAATATTTGCAGAATTATTTGCCCCTTTGAAACTTTGAAATTTTGGTTAAAGGTTAAAGGTCTTCAAAGATATTTACTTGAAACTTTACACATGCACTTAGGGTCATACTATCAAGCACTTAGAATAGTCGAGCGTGCTGTCCTACCGACAGCTCTTGTTATGGTACCAGTGTGGCAGTAATTGAAATAGTAACTATACTTTAAGCTCTTCACCAGGTCATAATATTGTACTTGTCTTAATTCCTAATATAGCAGTCTGTAGTTCCAGTGTGGCATTTATTAGTATAGTAACAGTGCTCAGAGCTTTAGTTTTTATGAAGATAATGTTTAATTTAATATTCCGTGTGACATGCTGGTACAAGGGTGTCATTAATTGTTATATTAACTATACTTTAAGATTTTGTTTAATTGTTGATTATTTATTAAGGAAACCCCTGTATACCATTATGTCAGTAACAAGTATATAAAATATACTAAAAGTTTTTATGGGGTATATTGTTTATGTTTTGACTCACTTTGATTTTTCTGTAAAACCAGCTTATTTTTGTCAGATTTGTTAAATTAAAGCTGCATGATTTCAGATGAGGCAAAAATAGTTCAAGAAAATTTAACTTGAGAAAAATGTACTTAGATTTTAAGTTAGGTTAAATGATACAAGATTCATGTTGCAGTATTTATTACCAATTTTCTACTGTGTTAGTAAGGCAATAAAGGTTATTTTTGCATATTTTGATCTCTTTCTGATAGTTTGCATGGATTGTAAGTGCCTGTTGAAATATGTCAATAACTTCCTCTGTTCTCCTCACAAGATTTTACTTTTAAATACATTTTCAAAATTTTCATGAAAATTAGCATGAATCTGGAGGCGTGCTGCTTTAAAACGGAAATTAAATTTGTGTTACTGTATGAATTTTCTATTCTTCTAATTCAGGCTACACTGCGAGCATCCAGCAACATGCACAATGACATTTTTAGGAAGATGATGGCTTCCCCAATGAAGTTTTTTGACACAACCCCAGTTGGAAGAATTATAAACAGATTCTCCTCTGATCTTGATGAAAGTATGTTACTATTTCATCATATGTTCAGCATTTTGTGAAAATTTTCAAATCATTCCCTCTCCAGGTTTTTCCAGAATCATCATTTTTATTGTGTCGCCTTGAAAAAGGCGACATATAAGGATTACTTTTGTCGGCAGTGTCGGCGTCATTGTCGTCGTCTGCGTCCCCTTAAGCTTGTCCGGAAGCATAAGTCAGTCATTATAAGTTGGATTGATTTCAAACTTGGTATGCATGCTAATTATAATGACCCGAAGTGCAGTGCACAAGAACCGGTACTCTGCACCTCATACTTTTTTTTGTCCAGGCCATTTCTCCTAAAGTATAAAAGCTATGGACATGAAACTTCATAGGATGATAGATCTCATTAAGAAGAAGTGCAGTGCATAAGAACTGGTACTCTGCATTTCTTAATTTTTGAGTTATTGCCCTTTGTTAATTTTCATACTTTATTTTTGTCCAGGCCATTTCTCATAAATTATAGAAGCTTTAGACTTGAAACTTAATAGGATGATAGATCTTATTGATAAGAAGTGCAGTGCACAGAAACTGCTGCTCTGCATTTCTTATTTTTTAAGTTATTGCCCTTTGTAGATTTTCAAATTTCATTTTTGTCCTGGCCATTTCTCCTAAACTATATTGTTCACAAGGTGACACATCCGACTCGCGGAGTTCTAGTTGCACAAAATAACGTTACTATGCTTTTCACTCTAATCTGGCTAAGAATCGCACAAAAATTACTATTTAATTCTTAGCATATTTTTATTTTATCCTTTGCAGACTTTTTCAATTTTAAGTGTTTCACTTGATTTACGGAAGAAATTGAAACTTTATGTTTTTAGGCTTTTTTTCCTCAGTGGAGTTTCTTTAACTATATACATACTCTATGTTTATAGATCACAGAGAAGTTTTCTTTATTTTACAGTTGATGTGCGTTTACCGTACATTAGTGAGATGTTTCTACAGAACATGTTGATGATCTTGTTTTCACTGGCAATAATTGCCTATGTATCTCAATGGTTCCTGATAGCCCTGGTTCCAATGGTTGTGGGCTTTCTTATCCTTAATATCATCTTTACCTCAGGGGTAAGTGTATAAAATTTCAACAAAGTAGTTATTTAATATGACATTATGCCCATTAAAGAGTATATAGTGAGTGAATAGGTGAAAATCAAAATAAGTTTACATTTCATGTTATCAGGAACTCGGCAAATGTGGGGTTTTACCAGCTAATCCGTAGGTTATAAACAAACTTTAACTGTTGCAGATGCATGGTGCACTGCCTGTCACATTACATTAGTCAACCTGTTGTGCTTATTGTTGAAGCTGTAACTGTAAAAGTTTGTTTGTACATACAGATAAGCTGGGAAAAACCCAAAATATTCTTAATTCCTGGTGTTGGTCTAATTCAACAAATTAGTTATTTAAAGAGACATTAAGACTATCCAAAGTGTATATAGTGAGTAAATATTTGATAGTCAAAATAAGTTTACATTTTGCCATAATACCTTTTCATTTTATAATTAAATTCACATGGTCAATTATAAACTCGCCTTGCTCAAGGAAATTTCTGTAAAATTCCTGCAGAATTTACATGTAACATTCACTTTATAAAAAGTTTGTTTTTCATTTAGAGGCAGAGTTATATTTTATCTTCTACATTTTCAAATAACACTTGTTGACCAATCACCATTAGGACAGTTTCTTTCAAATATTCGCTGGATTTATGTAAATCACTTAACCCATTACCAGATATGTACGCCTTTCTACGCCTTTTACACCCCCCCCCTTTTTGCTTTCTCAAATGGTGACAAAATGCCTTATTTAGGCCCCTAATTGTTTTTGTTTGAGAAATGTTGTTTGAAAAACAGTGACACACTTTTTGTGGCCTGCCATCGCGTGACGTACCCATCCATCCAAAGATTTGCATAGCGGAGCTTGCCAGAAGACCGCGGCGATGCCATGCCTCCCCTTCTGTTTGGGGAGGCTTTGATAGGGGCTGCCCCCTGTATCCCCCTCACGCCTAGAAAATTAAATTTGGATTGCTGCAAGAGCCGCCTAAAAAATGACCTCAGCGCTCGATCATAAGGTAAAGTGTAACAACACTGCAAAAGCCTTGACTTTGATCTAATCCTACTTGCAGAAGTGCGCCAGCCCAACTTATGAAATCAGATTGTTTGATCGCGAATTCAAAAATCAATGCCCCAAAATTAGTGCGGCTTTTGCCCCAATTTTGCTGATGTCTCCCTTGTTGCCATCGCCGGTAACAGAAAAAATTCAAAATCTGAGCATGCTTGCTTACAAAGGCGATGCGTCCAGTCAACATTTGCCTGCTAAGCTTTGGATTAGTAATGCAAGCCCGGTTTTTATAGTGTTGTTATAGCAATTTGAACTTTGCTAACGGAGACTTTTTCAATGAAAACAGCCGATTTTGCCACAATAATGCTCATGCAAACACCAGGGCTAATGCCGGTTGCAGTGCAGTAAAGCGCGTAAGTCACTATTAATCACAGTATAAGGAGTAAATGCCAAAATATAACTATGCATTTCAGGTGACCCTTAACACGTCGAGTATATTGGAACAAGTAAACATCCATCAACATTACCTAAGATGCGCTTAGACCCTTTTATGACAGGATGGCTTAACAAATACAATTAGAACATTGATTATATATTTTGCCCAGCCTCATAAATATCTAAAGTCTATATGAATCATATATAGATATAATTTATTCTATTAAATTTACATGCTATTGATAGATTTGTCTACTGTGAGAGTGTTCTTTTTTCTTTTCACATTCCATCCAAAAAGTATACTCTGACAATGAACCATTTATAATGTTTGTATGACAAAAGCTATATACGGTAGGTAAGAAGTATATCCCAACTTAATGCTCACCCATCTTGAATTCTCAATCAGTTTTGAAATTAATGAAATTATGCAGGGATATTCTTTCTTTTAAGTCATTTTATTAAAGGAGTATCTACACATTATTTATGTTATCATTATGTTCCCTTCCGATATAGTTCAAATAAATGATTCACAAGTCATTTAAAGTGAATTGGCTTGCGTACGCCAGAAGTAACAGCGTTTCTTTTCTTTTTGTCGGTAAATATAATACACAGAGAGAGACAATCTATTCTTCACATGACCATTTTGTGTGTGATTTGCATGTTTTTGTCTGCGTGGATATTGCATTTTTAGTCGCCTATAAAAAGCAGGATATTGTGTCACATTAGGCGAGTATAATTCCAAGGTATACCAACAAAACGCTATATTTACCTGTTTTGAATTTGCTATCCTCTTTATGCGTAGGCGACAAATGACTTTTTGAAATGATAATGATGCTATGACTTTACCAATCCGTCACATTCCGGTCACATCATTGTCATATTAGACCGGTAGGATAGTGCTAACTTTTAAAGGTTATTTAATTTCTGCAGTAATCGAGCTTCTGTGCTTGCTACCTTAATTTGACCAATTAAAACTAGAACGAGATGTTAAAATTGCCCCCAACAACAAATTCTACATCTCACGCTTTTATTACAAATGAGCCACCATTTATGTGACCTTGTCCTTAAACAGATAACTATGCAATAAATTATGTACTGAACATGTAGTACGTATCTGTTATAAAAATAAGATATAATAGCGCACGTGAATATGATAAATGTTCGTGTCGCGAACATATAAAATAGAAAATACAAGACTTTATTGAGGATAATGAAAACTCATTTTGCTTCTTCAACCTTCCATTCATTACACTTTGCCCTATACCATTGCGCGTTAGCATACATCACTATTTATACATAATGGGTATGAAGCATCTCTTGACAATGTAAAAAATCAATATAGAACAAAAGGCACGCAATCATTAAACAATAATTTATTCCCCTTGGATTTTTCCCTATAAAATTTCCACCGAGCAACAATATTAACAAACGTTAAGATTGTATGAAAAAAACAGTTATTATGAAAATTTCCTACGCACAGTTTTAAAACTCCCTTTACATCAAAAATTTTAGAAGGGAATTTAAAAACAAAATTAAAATTTTTGGTACTGTTTGATTCAAAAAAAACAACGTCCACTTTAAAATAAAAATTTTTAGCCCCAAAAATTTCCCTTTTTTGGTTTTTTCCCCTTTTCCAAAACCCAACTTGACATGGTTTATTTTTTTGTAAAACTTCCAAAAACCGTACTTTTTGGGAAATTTTAAAATTTTCCCAAATTTTAAAAATTAAAAAGGTTTTAAAAATTTAAATTAAAATTTCAGCCCCAAGGGGGTTAAAATTTGTAAATCCAAAAAATAACTTACTTTTTTTGATTTTTTCGAATTTAAATTTTGATATAAAAAAACGAGAAAAAAAAAAAAAGAAACCCATAAAGGAGGGCCAATACGGCAAAATTTTGTCCTTTGTTTGGCCTGTTTTTTTTAAGCCTGTTCTTTAAAAAGTATTTGGGAAGAGGAAAGCTACAGTTCGCGCCCCTAGATCCGGTCTTTATATTTTTATCTTAATTTTTTGAAGAATCGTTTAAAATTGTGGGTTTTTTTAAAAATTAATACCCCATGTTATAAAATGACTAAATAATTTTTTAATTTGTTTTACATACCCAAAAAAAGGGTTATATGAGCCGCGTCACGCCCAACCCCCAACATAGGGTTTTGGAACAGCTTTGGATCCAGCCCAGCCTGCGCATCCGCCCCAATCTGATCGGGAAACCATGCTGTTCCCCAAAACGCACTATTTTGGTTTTCCCTTTGAGGCGGCTCATATTTTTTGACCTTTTATTTTAAAGTTCACCGAAAACTTTTCAAAAGTTTTATTTACAATACATGTACTTTGCATATTAATTATGCTACAAATATTTTTTTTCTTCCCGAAAATTCATGTAAAAGGGAATGGGGCCCCCTTTATATGCCCCAAAACACCCCCAAAATTTGTCGCAACTGCCGCTAAATTTCGAAAAAAATCATTTTGCCGCTAAATGTGGGAAAACTCCCGCTAAATTTTCGAAAAAATCTTTTTGCCGTTAAAGGGCGCAATTTTAACGCCCAAATTTTTCGAAACGGTTTTTCCCCTACCGAAAAAATTTTCCAAAAAACATTTACCCGTTAAATGTTCCGCAAATGTTGAACTAGAGTTTAATTATTGTATTATATAAATTTAAAATTTCTGCCTACTCAAGACGGATTAGCCATTTTAAAAAACGAGTGATTTTATCATATTTTGGGAAATCCCGTTTCCCAAATTTTTTACACGATAAACTCATTTTCTTTTAAAAAATTGTTTTATTTTTTTGCTTCGTTTTTACCTGATTTTATACAAGAAAATATTGAAAAATTTAATTTATAAAAATTTTCTACCTTTTGTTTTTAAACGGGCCAAAATTTTTACTTTGTTAGTAAAAATTTTTGTACAAAATGTCTAAAAAATTAGCAAAAAACAGCCAAGTTTGCGGGAATGAGGGCCTAGTGGGGTTGAGTGGGAAAATTCGTCTCCCCAGTCGGAAAAAAAGCCTAAACCCCTAGGCACCCCTAAAGAAAACCCCTGGTATGTTTGGGATAGAATCGGGTTTAGAAGTCAAATAGAAAAAAAATTTTCATTTTTGAAAGCTAAAACATGTTATTTGCCCCAAAACAATATTTTTTATTATTTTTGGGGTTTTTTTTACCATTTTAAACCCGGGAACCCAGGGGGCTCTTTTTACGCACCATATTTTATTTTGAAAAATTTAAAGTTCTCTTAACATAAATACTCTTTTTAGTGCCTATTTTTTGATGTTTTGGTCATTTGAAATTACTATACGTTCTCGCCCAATGCCCCCGTTTAGAACACGATAAGAAAACAAAAAAATTCTAATCAAACTCTGACAAAAAAAAAAATACAAGCATAAAAATGGTTTCAATATAATCCCAAATCTTTTGTTAACCCCTGTATAATGTATTCTTTGTTTTTGTTTTTTTCCCGGAAAAAAAAGTCAAAATTAAAATTTTATTGAAAATTTGTAACAGATTAAAATTTTTTAAATTTCAGCAAAAAACAATCATGTGACAATAAAATATAAAAAACCTTAAAAATTTCCCTTTCC